TGGCGCTCTCAGCAGCAGTTTGGGTTTCAGATTGTTGGTAAAGAGCAGGCAACTACGTTATACACATTTTTAGCATCTGAGCGGTGGCATATAGGAGAATAATTAATTGAAAATTGCGGCATATCAAAAGCAGCAACTGCTGGCGACCATAAATGACGTATGGTTAAAGAATTCTTATAAACATATTTATTCAATTTGAGAGTAAGTCTTAAAAGAGCTCAAAAACATCAGTTCCACTATTTTCTTCAAGTATGAAAGGGAAGCTCTTTTTATAAAGCACCGCTCAAACCCAAACATATTTAAATCCATATTCAAAGTTGGCTTTGCGTTTTTTATATAAATTTTGTTAAAAGCCCAATGTGGATTTTCTTTGGGTAACAAGAGAAGTTTCAATTCTCGAATGTAAAGCGTAAGCCATATACGGTTACTCCGAAAGTCCTTTTAAGGTTGATTTCCGGAAATGAATAATTAAATCAAATAATTCTGAAGAAGCTTTAACAATTTATTAATAGCTTATAAATACGTCATTTCTTCATTCAACATCTTTAACATGAAAGCAGACGCTTGTTGTCGGACTCAACACTCCTGACATTGAGCGCTGGCTTCGGGGGAATATTTCGGGACCCACACAAATGACAGCCGTCCACCCACTACCCCATCTAACAACTAGATATGCTCACAACTTTTGATGGTTATCGAGCATAGCCTTGGGTTTCTGACACATTTTTGCAGACAGGCCCTTTTGTTGCTGGCTGTCAGTAACAACTGATGACATGCCAAAGCTGCCGCTAAAATAGTTTCATCAACTTATGCAAAATGTAGCCAATGCGACATGTGTTGCCAAATCCGAATAGGGAGTTAGCTTCTAAATGAATTATAAATATGGAGTAGAAGGAATTTAATATAAAATAATCCTCCACACAAACACGATAGCAATCGTGTAATTAATCATCAGCCCCTTTAGATAGGTATTAAATTTTAATACATATTGAATGAATTAATATATATCAAATGATAATGATGAAACGAAAAAGAAAATTATTTAATATATGAAAACGTAAATCATAGATGGTTAAGTTAAAATACAAAAACTGATACTTTAGGTAGAGTGTAGGCTCCTACTTAAGTCGCTATTTTCATAATTTGAGGTTCACATTGTCATACAGTCTTTTATAGGGAAATGTAGCTTAAAGCTAATTAAATTTTCAGACGATTGCTATAATTGATATAATAGAAACTTTTATGGTCGTCTTTCGTAAATTTGATTTAGCATAGATGTGAAAATTGCTATAAGTTCAATATATAAACTTAAATATCCTCTAATTTCTATTTGTATATCAATTTTGTATTTATAGGTGCCTATATACTTTTAAAAAGCATAATTTTAGCCATCTGCAAGGGTATTAGTGTAGGGGTTTATTTGGGGATAGCTTGTTAAGCACGTTCTGTTCTGCTAAATCGTAATTCATTGCCGTGGTGGTCGTCATTGCCCGGCGCTTATCATTGATAGCCCGGCGTTGACGCACCAAATGAACCCGGTTGCAGCTGATGTCGACAAGTTGTCCCCAGTTACCGACTAAACTGATAACAATTAACAGTTGTTATTATCGTTAATTGAGACGTACGCTCATAAAGAGGCATTGTGTTGCCAGTATTTATGCCCCAACTAGGTATGCTTCAACTCAAGTCAAGGCGTCGACAATGCCAATCAGCGCACTGATTCCATTGTGCTCAGCGAGCCATTCCACTCGCGCGCTCTGACGTCTGTTCAATTGCAACGCAGTCACCCAGTCTTAGTCTCGAAACTAACCGATTGACGAAAGAGCAGCCCCATGCTCAGTTCGTCAAGTGCCAAGAGCAGTGTATGGCGAGAGACTCGAGTTATGAATGAGTGACTGCCAGATGCTCTGTATGGGGCATTCAAAATGTTATTTAACTGGGATAAATGTATTTAACATATTTTTGTAGAAGTCACTTTAAATTTTCGTTATAGTTAGCCGCATAATAATAATGTAATATAATTTAATCAAATATACCTCTATCTCTAAAGGTTAATGTTTACAGGGTATGCCAAAATAGCGTAAGAGAAAAGTGAACGCAATTTAAAAATAGCCAAAGACGCGTTCAAATGGCCAACTGATATGAAAACAAGAACAATGAGTTGATTTATTTTAAAACTCTTCAAATTTTTTTGCGTCAGCATCAACGCAAACTATGCAAATAGTACGTAGGCTCTTTGTACATATATGTATATGTACGAATACATATGCAGACATAGAGACACGCCCATTGACCGCCTTTATCAAAATACCAAAGACTTTCGATTTCTGTTTCATTCGGATCGGATTGTGGCCAATTTAATGACAAAATGTATATACATAAGTAAGCGAGTGGAAAATTAAGTCTATAATAAATATAAATAGCATTTGAAAATAAAACTCTGAATCTGAATTTGTTGAGCTGACTAATTGACTAAATTGCAAATCAAACGCCTGTGTAAGCTGTTAATTTACTTAAAATAACCCTATTCTTTAAGTTTTAAAGCAGCGGAAAGGATGTCAATAGCTCATCCTCTGATTAATCGTCTGCGGTCAAATGCTATTGAACGGGTTTTTCATCCTACTTATCTTTAAGTCCTAAAAGTTGAAAATGTAATTATGACGTGATTAAAATATTTGTATAATTTTGATAGCAAATGAGTTCATAAATTAAGGAAGGCGTACTTGCATAGATTCTTGCCAAATACCAATAACTGAACTGTTTGGCCAGAGATTTCTTTTTATATTTTGCTAATTTTTATGATAGCCAAGACAAGTTGTTAAGGCGATGTCTGGGAGCCAAATTGGTGACAGTCAAAGGCTTCCAAACGGGCACTGTCCCGTGGCCAGACAAAGGTCGATATAGAAACCAAGGTCGAGCTTGGTAAGATGTGCTGCTACAGTGCGTGTGTGATATAGGTGTGTGTGTGTTTGTGTTTTCTTGGAGGCAATGTCTACGGCAACGCCCACAGCAATCGCGAAGGAGAGTAAGAGAGAGACACAGAAAGAGAGAAAGGCAACAAAATATATAAAAATATTTGCACAAGAGCCGATTTTTATTTGCATTTGTGAATTTATTGCTTTTGCCTTCTCTGCTTTCGCTCGGCTTCGACTCAGCAATTTTCATTTTCTGATTCTTGTGCTGCTAAGGGAATTTGTTACAGCGAGGACCGAAAGGCAATGGACGCTGTACGCGTTGCCCAAAGCAATTAAAATTTTCAAGCAACCAGTAGCAGTAGCACCGACAGCTAGAACAACAACTACAACTACAGCTGCATCACATCTCCAGACAAGGACGCCTTTGTGTTTAGAATTCACGAGGCAGGTGATAGGTGTTTGGGGTTACAGGCTGCCAGTCACGGTCATGGCTGAAGGAACCCCTTCCTCAACATAAAGATGCGATATGCAAGATGGACACGCCAGCTGATGGCCAACAGACATGGGCAGGAAATTCAATAAAGCAAACAAATTTACATATGTGCACAAACAACTAGCAAAAAATATAAAGTGCTTTGATCTAAACTACAAAATACCCTATTATGAATTATAATAATATTTTTATATGTAAAATACATTAAAAATATTTATACAATTTGTACTGTTTTATATAGTTTAATAGGGAGTTATGCTACAAAAATAAATATGAATACAAATCTTGATAGAATGGTATCTAATCATGAGATGGAATTCGCTCAATTGGGATTACAAAATATTATGTTGCTAGAATTCTAAGGCGCATCGCCATTGTGCGCCGCTGCAAATTAATGACTATAGAGCCATAATACCTCTCAATACTGTTATGTGTAGGGTATTAATGTATTCGCACCCACGCAAATAAGAGTGTCATGGAAAAGGCAGATTTGGAGTGTGAAATATCGAACTTCCCATACACTTTTTATAATAACAACAATTATACAGAAATATGTAAATAAAAGCGAATGGGCAATCTTAAATATACATTTTAAAAGTATTGTTATACGTATTGTAGTCAAAGAAGGTACCCGCTATAATATCGGATGTAAATATAATGTTTATTCCTGAATTATATATATAGATATATATTTAACAAAATATATTATCAGTCAATACGAGTAATCTCATAATGTACGGATGGCTAAATAAAATGAATAATAATATATTTGTAAATCAGTGTAGTTACTACTACTACTACGAGATTCCCTGCACTTGTTGAAGAATTGATATTTCAATAATTCTTCGTTTATTTTCTGCACATAGAAGAGTGCACATAGAAGATTACTCATACTCATACACACACATTTGCACGCACTATCCAAACCAGAACTCTTTAATATTTTAAACCCCTTTTTATTTTATGCAAATTTCAACGGAAAGGGGTGGACTTGGGACCGGCATCCAAAATATAACAAATATCAAAGATGTATAAGTCGGGCTAAATCGACCCATCCCATCGCCCTGATCATATATGCCTGTTACATACATTTTAACAAAACTATTATACCCATTTTAAATGGTTTCAGGGTATAAACGCGCAATTTATCAGAAGCGTCACAACAAATTTCCTCTGCCCTTCGAAATGTGCCAGTTTTAATGGGGGCGAGAATTTGTGGCAAGTGGCAAGTGGCATTAAGCGAAAATGTGGCGAAGGGGAAGGCTGCTCCGGTTTTAATTACGTTGCAGTGAAAATGCTACGCGTATGCTGTAATACGAATAAATTGAATTTGCAGCAGAGCGGCAATGGCCGACAGTTTCAATGTTTATAAACAAAACGTGAGCAAACAAAAGCGAAAGCAAAACATTTTTATACACACACATAGCCTTATACGTATACACATTTATGCACACTCATACATATCCGAATATAAAAAACTTGCATCTATAGACGCCGCCTTGGTATATGCATTACATAAGCAAATTGGAATTGCGATCCTCACGAATTGTGTTCGTCAGCATTAAAAATAAATAAATAATCCATTTACTTACCGTTTGAAAACTACTTCAGAACACTGACGCCGAAAACGCCGACAAATGTTGTGTATGTTGTTATCTATTCAGCGAAATTTGAGAACGATCCGAAACAGTCAATGGTATATTCTAAATGTTAATTCTGGCGGATATCGTGGCCGAGATTATTTAGTGTATAATGCAAAAGCAAAAAAGTTTTGCTTTCTGGCATCTGCTTAGCACAATTTGACTTTCCGACAGTCAGAACGCGACACAAACACTCCCCACAAGTTTCGCTTCAATAATATTTGTGTTAATTCCAGTGTAGCCAGAAAGTCCACTTCTTCATAATATACTAATAATGCACTTAAAATACGGTACTACTTTTCAAAAATACCAAATTGGTTTAACAGCTGACACAGTGCAGCCAACTTCATTGCACAGCATATGCTAGCGATAAGGTAATTGATTATTTACTTCAAGATATAAGTCGTAAAAAATTCTTTAATTATTTACTAGATGTTAATTTAATTTTTAAATTATTACCTATGCAAAAATTGAAATGCGTGCATATATCAGGTAACAATATTTACTTCGAGTATTTAGTGATGTGTCACGTAACCGTTACTTGCTAGCAGTTACATAGAGTGTCCCACCACTAGTTGTTATTATTTGGTGGTGCGTTTAATTAATATTTGTTTTCAACCGTAGCGTTTAAAAATAATTCAATTAAAAAATATATAAAATACAACAATATGGCCAATGTTGAGTCAATGATTGTGGAGGAAAAGACGCAGGTCAAGCAAATCGATCGCGAGAAGGTTTGTCACAACTATCATTTGGCGAACACGAATGCCGGCTATTTCGGTTAATATGCTTCCTCTTCTTGCTGTCATTGCAGACCTGCCCGCTGCTGCTGCGGGTATTCTGTTCCACGGGCCGGCATCATTCTGTCTCGGAGTACATGTACGGCAACGTGCCCACCAACGAGCTGCAAATCTACACCTGGCAGGATGCGACGCTGCATGAGCTCACCTCGCTTGTGCGAGACGTGAATCCAGATACGCGGAAAAAGGGCACATACTTTGACTTTGCTATTGTGTTCCCCAATTATCGCAATAATCACTTTCAAATGCGCGAAATTGGTGTAACTTGTACAGGCCAGAAGGGCATCGATGACAATAAGACGCTTGCTCAGGCAAAGTTCAGCATTGGTGACTTCCTGGATATATCCATAACGCCTCCAAATCGCATGCCGCCTACGCGACGTCAGCGCCCGTATTGAGTTGACGAATTTTACAGGCTATTCATATAATTTCTCACTTCAAACTTTACACACGATAATAATAAAGTACAGACGTAATTACAGATTAGTACAATTAAGGCGACGACTTAAGAGCTCATTGACTTAAACAGCTAAGTGGAGTTTGGATGCGTGCGTACGATTAGTTCCTGTAGATACTGTTGGGACGCTTGGACTTCTTCTTTCCGAGCTGTGACATATCGATTTCCAAGCCGTTGGGCAACACAGCGCGATTTTCCTCGTAATTGATGAAGCCATTCTCCTGTAGATCCTCCTCATTATTGCGCGCATTGGGATCGCATTTGATTCCCGTCTCATAGTTGTACTCACGTTTGTTGCCATCGGGATCAATGTAGCCATAGGTACCCCTGCATAGACATATTAATATATATTTGATTTCATTAATTTCTGATTCACCACTCACTTGGTTATGCAGTCGGTGCCAATGAGTTCCTCCTTAAAGGAGCCATCGTCGTTCTCATAGCCCCAGGTGATGGACCCATCCTCGTTCTCATCGCGCCACTTGCGTATGGTTTGGGCGACGGGACGTTGGCGACGCTGCTGTTGCGCGTTCTGTTCATCCTGTAGCTGATTCTGATCGATGAGAGGGCGTGGCTGAATGGGCTTTGGTCTTGGACGCTGTACAGAGACAGGTGCTGGCTCGGGACGCACTGCAGCCGCAGGTCTCGTGCGTATGACTGCGACACGCTGTGGTGGAGGTGGTGCCGCCGTAGCAGTGGGTGTTGGGCGCGACAAATCGAAGCGCTGAGAGTTTTCGAAGCGTCCGATGCCAAAATCGTTGAAAGATGGCCGGTTGATGGGCGTGGCTGCAGCAGGACGTTCCGAAAAGCGTGGTGCTGGCAAAATTGCTGTCGGCTGGGTGTCCTCATGCTGGAGCAGCTGCTGTACAGGAGTGGCAGTCTCCACGGGTTGCTGGCCATTCAGAAAGGCTGCGGCAGCCTGCTGGAACTGTGATTGCTGTGCTTGAGCTAGCTGCTGTTCGCGCAGCAGATTGGGCAGGAATGCGTCCGGCTGCTCATCCTCAGCGGGCTCTGTAACGGGTCGCTCCTCCAGTAGAATGCGCTGCGTAACAGCTGGCAAGTGCTGTTGCTGCTGCTGTTGCTGACGCAGCGTCACGCCAGGTCGACGCACTCGCAGCACTTGCTGGCGCTGAGGTATTGGCGCTGACACGGGGATTGCGCCCGGAATGCTCAGCCGTGGCGGATAGTTTTGGGCTTGTGCCAAGACAACGACGCTGCACAACAGCTGCAAATCGTAAGAGTTTATTAGTGGAATTGAGGCAGGGCTATAAAAGGCGTGGTCTGTTGAAACTGTTGCGGTTACTTCAACCCAGCGTGGCCAACATTTGATCTCTTTTGGCCACGCTTCTAATTAGCTGTGCGTACTTAATCAGCAACGGGTATTTTTACGAAACGTGTGCTCCACATACGTTCCACAAATGCACGAGGTATAACGTTTGACTTTGCGCTTGTCGTGCACTTCTTAAGCCGCTGTCGCCATAAACAAACTGGTTTACATTTATATGCCGCTTAAGTGTTACAACAACAATTTGTAATTGTAACGCTGTGGCGGGCATAACAACAACAACAACAGGAGTAAGTAACTGCAATAGCAACAAATGTGGAACATAAAGCAAATCGCAAAAATTGCTCGCCCGCCTCGCTGGTTCGATCGATCATAACAACAACCACCATCGCCAGCACCACCAACCACCGTCACCTACAACAACCACAGCAACAGAAAATATTTGTTGCTGCTGTTGTTGTTATCGGCGTCTCGGGCCGGATTGCGTAATTTGCATGCCTCAGCAGTTGGCGGCAGCCTAAAGTGGCACAAACTGGCAAAAGAAAAAACTCCATTGAGTTAGTTATGCGAATTTTTCCGTGGCATGTGGAAACCATTTGATCTCAAGCACGCCGAGTTTCCGGTACTCAGAAAAATAAAAAGAAGTCAGTGTCTAGGACAAGTGGCCGCCAAATCAATGGAAGTCGTCTATTGCGAGCTCGAATACTTTCAAAAATACCAGTCGTTGAGTCAATGTTTTGAGTTAATTTTTAATTAGGTGCCGCTTTAATAGCGATCGAGATCTGCGACACGGGCTATGGTCCGCGCGCCAGGTTAACAAAACCCACAGCAGCTCCACCACTTTTGCTTTCGCTTGGAATTTTTGTGCCACATTTCTATACTATGGGTAGTTGCAACGTTAAATAGATATATTAAGCGATTGAAAGATTCGACTTTATACGAACTGTGCTTTAAGAACTTTTCACTGTATGTAGTACCAAATGGATATGAACTAAAAATGTTAAATATATTTTTATTTATTTGACTTTGAATAAAATCTGTAACACGGCCTTTGAAAACTGGTTTAGTTTAGGTTAACTTGGTAAAAAATCAAAATGCATTAGACCAAATTACATTGATTATTTGGCTTGGGATACATATATACTTTATAAGGTAATATTTTATGAAATATATACATATCTTTGATATCACTACTACAAATAAATTCGACTAATATTCAAGTATTTTTATAATATCAGATCAATTTAGTTTGATTTTGATTTTCTGTTCTCAATTTAGTATTTTCCCTATTAATTTCTTAGCAACATTTCAAGTAGAGTACATAGATATATCCATTTTGTATTATTAGTTTATACAAAATGTAAACTATGTTCATTCATATATAGGTATAGTTATTGTACTTTACGCTTTGCTACTCAATTAAATGCACAGTGACTTCAGCTTATGCAAATTTGTATTATGCATTCACTCCATAAATATTGTTGTATAAATAAGTGAGTAGTTATTTTTTGTTGTTTTTGATTTTGGTTTTCTTAGCTCGATTTTCACAGCTTTCTTGGCCAGCAGGGTGCTGCTTGGCGTTGTTTTGTGGGCATTCAAGCTAAACATTCCAATGACCAACTGCAGCTTGGCTGGCTGCCCAACTCTACCTGGTCAAGTGAACTATTTGGCAAGGCGTTATAATATGAATAAAAGCAAAAGAGAGTGAGGGAGAGAGATAGAAAATCGAGCTCGCTTTACACGCTTTTGCAAACACTTGCAACGATGCGAGTATTTTTTGCTGCTTGGGAACTTGATTTAATTTAATTAGTTTTTATGGCTGCACCTTAACGACGTGGTTCAAGGAAACCGAAAACAAAATATTTCTTGATTTTCTTCTTATTTTTTAATTTTGAGACAAGCCCTAGCTAAAGTCATGTGGGCGTAGTCTGCGCTCTTATTCGAGTGCGATGAGAGAGGAAGACGATGTTGATTGGATGATGGCTCATTAGCAAAAATAACCAGGTAAAGGACTCTTGGCCTTGGTTACAACTGAACGGGCTATTGACCGAAAGGGAACGAAAACACCGAAAAACTTTATTGCACTCAAAAGATATTTCTTGAACGTATCTCTTACTCGACTGGAAATAGTTGTCAGTGCACTTTCAGAGCTCAGATATGTAACGCTTTATTTATGCTTATATGTACATATATACTTGTATACAAATATATGCTTATACATACATAAATATATGTATGTAACTATGAGTGTGCAGCGTACTCGTGTATTACGTAACACACTACGCCCAATTGCGTTATGGAGCAGACTATCTGAAAAGCGTTTCAAGTTGTGTTGGAGTAGCTGCATCTACAAAATGTGTGTGTGTGTGTATGGGTGTGTGCGTGCGGAGAATTTGCATTAAATGTGTGCAACTTACGACTTGAGTGCGTTGAGCTGAATCTCAAATAACTTGGTCAGTGGCTTGCGGACTCTGCCAATGCAAGTGAGCCGGGCCAAAGCGACCTTGAGATGCATAATCCAAGCCACCGTAAAATATGCCGCGATCAATTTTCTGTTGAATCATATAAAACTGCTCTTAAAATGCCCAAACAATTTGCCGACAACTATTGCTCTGAGTTTTACTATTATTAAGTTGTTTTTATATTTGAAAACCAATTAGCCAAAGCTATGGCCAAATTTTTGGACAAGCCCCAAGTCAAGCAATCAATCAGTAACATTAAAATCCTATTAGAAATGGTTATTTATGGCTTTAAAAAAGTTTCGCAATCTATGATGTTTGGTAATATTTGTATATATCTGAATTAATATTTGTATGTTAATAAATTCTTTAAAAAAAAATCCATGAAAATTATTTCATTCAGATGTATCTCAAAATCTCACGAATTTTTAATTACTTTCCCCAACAGGTTTCATGGTAATATTTATAAATAAACCAATAAATATTTATTACCAAGACTCAGAGGCAAGTTGCAAAGATAATGCTGACTGCGCTTATAGCCACTGAACATTATTGGTTTACTTTTAAAAATGTTGGCACACTGCCGTCATTCAATGGGGCGGAGACAAAGCCGAAAAAAACTCGTTAAATCTGTGACCTGAGGGCTTGGTTAACCAATTTTTTCAATTGGAATTCTTTGGTACCCATAAAAATAGACAATTGTTAATGATTGAATCGCATATTTATGATATCGGGGATTTGTGTTGCGTTTGCTATTTGACTTTTTATGATCGGCGAACGAAATGTCAATTGGTCATATTTAATTGCGAACTGCATTGCATTGAGCTACAAGTACACTCATAGACTTTCTATTAAATGCAAATAAAAACGCCAATGTCTCAATCGGTGCTCAGAGATGGAGATCGAGATCTTAAGCCTCAAACCAAACGACCTTGGGTGTTCCCATGCATACATGCAGCCGGACAATTGCAGTTTTGAGTAACTGAGTGAGTTTTCCAAAGTGAACATTTGTATTTAATTCTGCACTCAATGTGTTTTATGTGGATCTCTTTCGAACTTACCGCGACTAGTTGCAGTTTCATTTTGTGGCCGTTTGTATAACACTTCCGCAATGCTCCGACTCTACTTCTGATATAGAAAAACTTAAACTGTTTTATTTATTTTGAGACCGTCGTCGCTTAGGTAGATACTTTTGGCCAGCCGATAAACGTTAAAAATGCTGGGCGCCCGAGTTGCCGAGTCGGTTTTATAGCCCCGTCGCAGCTTTTCGTCTCTCATGTCCAGCACACACACCTGGAAATTTATGTGAGGCGTGTTGTGGCTGCCATGTGAACGTTTAAGCAGTTATAGCCGTTAACGCATCTTGAAATGAAAGTGAACGCAATAATGTTTTCAAATCTGCGATGGTTTTCGGATACATATTGCTTGTGTTGAGAATTGCATGTGTGCTCTGGGAACGTGCTTCAATTTTTAAACTATTATTATCGCGACTCTCAGCCAAAAATAAATACATGTGGCAGCACTGTACGTTGAGCTTTGCCAGCTTTTGAAAGCGTTGCGCTTTTAAAATACAAAGCCCAATTTGTGCTTGAACCACTACAGGGCGTATGTGCGATTTTACAGTGGGACGCACTAGGTTGTAGTATTGGCTAAATAGCAACGAATATGTAGCAGTAGCCTTACACATATAATTCACCTGATGAATGAATGATATTGGGGAAACTATGTTATGATTTCATATAGTTTTCGATTAATAGAGAAATTGAGAAAATCTATTCATATTCCACTATCTGATCATGCTCGATCAATTTTGATATTTTTATTTATTCTGTTTTATTTTATTTTATTTTTTAAATCAATGAACTTAACGTAAGGTAAACACTAATCGCAAACTTGATTTAGTGTAATGCTTATTTTTTACATGATTTACACAACCTTAAGCAGAAACCAAGAGGAGCATAGGTAGACAGACAAAGGCATATATGTCGATGATTAGCTATGTAGATGATAATGATCAGGACACTTTCTCTTCATTGTTAAATATAACTTTAACTAACTTAATATCACGAAGGAAATACGTCCGTTTAACGATAATAAATCTAAAATATCCGAGTCTACAGATAATATTAACAATTAACAAAAAATTTTTATAAAATTTCTAAAATTTAAATGATTTATAAATATACATACGTGTGATAAAAAGCAGAGAATTTATAGACAAAGGCTGAGAGAAATGATTTTGTGAAGGCCCATTGGCCGATATTGCCAATATATCACAGTTAGAAATGTACATAAAATAAATACATATACGAAGAGATAAAAACTATTCGACGTCCTTCATCAACATGATGGCAACAGCGCCAATCAAACCGCAAACTCCCATTATATTCAGAGGAAGCAGAGCGTCATAATGCTCCTAGAAGTTTGAGAAAAATAAATTATTCATTGGAAGGGTAACAATAGTTGGACCTCAGTAACTTACCAGCTGCCACAAGGAGGGGACCAGAATGAGAGCTATGCCTGATGCCAAGTTACCCATGCCGACGCCAAAGTTGCGAACAATAGTCGGATACTGCATAGCCGTGTAGGTGGGTATAATGGCATTATTGGCGCCTATTAAACACTTGGCTGGAAGGCAAAATTCAGGTTACATACAAGTACAAATACAAATATATATATTAGCTACTATCGGACACTCACCTATGGTGGCGAGAGCAATGACGCCTGACTGGTTGTGTTCGTTTTGGGGCACCAGGTTGGTGGCCAGACAGCAGAGGCCAGGCAGCAACATGTAGCCCAGCAGGCTGCGCCTGATACCGGCTTTGATGACTATGAATATGCTGATGCATATCGAAATGGACTCCACACTGCCGGCTACTGCGCTATTTATGTAGACATTGCCACCCAAGTTGTTCAAGTGGAGCGTCAGGCCAAAGTAGATTATAATTAGGGTGAACCAAATTATCAAAGTAAGCAGAGTGGTCCGCCAGTATTTGCTACCAAAGACCACAAACAGCGGATTTACATGCACATTCAAGTGAGGTACATCAGATGGTATCTTGTTCTCCTCAACGATTGTGGTGACAGCTTCTGTCTGGGATGTGTCCTGCCGTAATTCAATGGGTACGGCGGCTTCCAGCATCTTTTGATAGTTGTTGGGCAGCACAGTGCCGTTCATCTTGGCGGCGCCCTCAATTAGACGATTCAGCTCCTCTAGGCGTCCCTGTGCCAGAAGCCACCGTGGAGATTCCGGCAGCCAGTACCTGTTGAAGCAAATAGAGAATCAATGCCATCTCTTTGTATTTATTGCCTGACCAATGACACTTTGGAATTTTTCATTTTCTTTCGAGCAAGTCAAACAATGCCAATGCATAGCTACTGCAAATGCGGCTAATCTGAGCGAATCGCCACGAGCATCTGGGATAAACATTGAGGAATGTGTGGAACGTTGCCTTTGTCCGTTCGAAATCTAATTGATCCTACGCAACAAATGCTGTCAATCCTTGGTCAGTGGCTGTCAGGAATTTGTTACACATTTCGTTTTTACTTTGATGTTAAATGCGAACGTGAAAATAACAATGAAATGGTTACCTAAACTTTTTGCTTGTCTTTTTTTTTTATTTGACGCACTAAATGCGGTTTCAAGTCACATACTCGTAAACAATTCTGAAAGCTCGAACTTAAAACGATAAATTCAACAAATACAGACTTAAGCACAAAAGCAAGACACAGAGCTCTAGTCAGAAGTAGACGACTCGGAGATATCTTGCAGCATTGTAGTTGCCCAATTTACATATTCAAATATTTCAAATAACTATTTCCAAATTTACCTACATTATTTTGAATTAAGTTCTAACTACTGCCCATTTTTAATACAAATTTAGAATATGGATTTATTACTATATGTTACATACTTCTACCGAAAGCTTTGAAAACCTATTTACAATAAAATTTTTGTACATGTGCTACACGTAGTTACAAAATACGTTCATTTAATAAGTTGCTAACAATTCGTGTCACTCGTAGCAATTTCCTAAAGATAATTTGGATATTTATGTATTTAACACTACTTTAATATAGGCACATGACTAAGTGACAAATTAATCCAGAGATCTCATGGCTATCTATGTATATTTATATATAAATCCATCTTTTGTGATTGCCATATTAATTATTAGAAAATTATTAACACTAATTTCAATTCAGCTGGCAAAACTCGTTTAATAATAATAATAATAATTATATGTACAGTGGTAAGTACAAACGAAATAAATATTTAATATTTAGCGATATGACTTATCTTACACTTTTTTAAGAATTGCTTGAAATGAAAATAAATAAATAAATAAATAATATATTTTAAATAGATCGTAGATAGTAAAAAGTAGTCAAGTACACATGAAACATTAATATCAGTTTCTATACTTGAAACCGGAAAGATTTTTCAGCTGATTGAATTCTTCTGAAATTGCACTATAAAGTTAATTGCGTTGTGTTAAGGATTTATTAATAGACTAACAGCTCAAAGCAAAAGCGAAAATTTGTTCAGCTCTGACATTCGAAATGAACATAAAAAAGTCTTAAAATGAATTTGCTTGACTGAGAAATCCTGTTACGCGTGCTTTAAAAGAATTATAAACAAATATTTCATTCGGAATCAAAAATGTTATTATCTTCGCATACAAATGTATAAATTAAGCTTTATCATAAATAACGCAAGTTGTAAACACAGTTTTGAATCGAGATTAGAACGTTTAAGATTTTAGCAAGATTTACTAATTACTCATTTAATAATTAGTCAAAACAACAAACAATGTAATTAACACAATACTGAAATCAAATGATTTATGTATAAAAATTTTGTATTGTATAAAAGCATTTGTATTGTGTTCAAGTAATTGACTTTTAGACATTACGCGTGTGCAAACATACAGTGCCATACAAAATATATGTATATTATATGTATATATATTAATATATTAGATGAGACAGAAAAATTTAATATAATATAATATTCTCTCCTTCAATTTTTTATGGATAAAGATTCTTATTTTAAAATAATCGATCTATGGAAATTTTTAATATTGAACAAAATCATTATAATCTAGCACTTACCAAATCGATAACATGACTAGCCATGGCCAGGATATGACCAGCTGCAGTGTGCGCCAGTCTCGGATCAAATAGGCGATGCCAGAGGACAGGACATAGGAGACGGCCACTGGCAAAATGTTTAATATGCCGATTATTGTGCGCCATTTGCCGGATACCAGCTCGACGACTAGCACGAAGCTAACAACAGTCACGGTCATTGATGCGAATCCAATTATAACACGTAGCGACATGAACATGGCCACCGATGTCGAGAAGGCCAAAATACCACCTGTGCACCAGTGGGATAGAAAGAGAGCAAAAACATGTGAGGCAGACAGTGAGAGGGGGTATGAGGGAGTCAGGTGGGAATGCCAGGTGCAAGGCCAGGCACGTAAATAAGAATGTAAACTCAATTAAAATCTGTGCTGCGGACAAATGCAAATGCATGTGTTGCGAGTCCATACCGCACACTACAGACACCCACAGCCACAAAGACCCACACCGACACGTGGTCTGAAAAGTTTAATTTAAATGACATTTAGAAGATAGACGCCATGGCTGGACTGGACCAGCACATGCAATTTGCTCAGTGATTGCCCTATAAACTATTTAGTGGACTTACCGAAAACGGTTTGTATAAGCACAAAGCTCATCAATGTGTGTCGCCGACCAAAACGGTCCGAGATCCAGCCGGACAGCACGGCTCCAGCTGCTGCGCCTATCAGAAAACACATTTCCACATAGCTTGTAATGTTGTTGTCACAAACTAAGCCGAAATCCTGCACCAGGGTCTTGGCACCGCCATCGACATCGGAGAACTCAAATTGGTGACATTTTCTGTAGCCCACTGCAGAGGTATTGCTCGGCCAATTGATCAGTTGTCCATTGTCTAAAATCACCTGACTATAGTCAATGTCTAGCAGTTGGCAGCCATTGGGGGTTTGACTGAGATTCCGCCATTCCGTGATGCTCAGGTTCTGAAGGTTTGCTGGCCTGGCACACCAAAAATCCTTTGGCGCGGTCTAGAATGTAGAATTAAATGAATTAAAATAAATGGTACAATGAATCTCCAACTTAATTGATTATAAAAATGTTAGGTTTTAAATAAAATACTAAACGGGTTTAATTTGGTT